TAAATAATCAATCTCAACATTATGACGTTAGGATAAACAGGATATAATGACAGACCCTGGTGCCGACAAAGAACGAGTGCCTTGAATTACAGCACTCTTTATTTCAACTAAAACATCACTCATAAGTCGCTGCCAGTGGGAGAGGCATAACCGCTAAACTGAGGAACAGGTTTAGCCCAGAGGTTAATGCATTTAATTTTCTTTTTGTTATTGGCATAAAGAGGCTTTGGCAACGGCCAGTCTGCAGGAGGGGAATACATTTCAGTGGGGTAGTCCTCCGATATCCCTGCAGAATGTAAACATGACTATGACTTATGACTGGCTGTCACAGGATAGGCTGTAATGTAATAACTAATGTATCAGCACAGCTGCTGGGGAAAATACCCGCACATTACCGGCTGAGAGACAAATGAAACCTTCACCGCTCTTTGCCTCCTTCCAAGGCTCAAATGTCCAGTGGAACCACTTACACTTAATTTGACTGTCAATTTGGTGGCATCACCTAAATTGATTTTTTCCTAGTGTTTCCTTCCTTTTTCCCCCCCTTTCTTTCTTAGACCACAATTATTTATTCGATTTGTTTTCCTGCTCAAAACGAGTGGTTTTCTTTGAGTAGGCATGGAACACAGATTGGAAACGTCTTAATTTTAAACTTAAATGAATTCATTAATTTTTTTATACTTTAAACTTTTTAATTTTTTTCATCGGTGCAAGACAAAGCTAGTCAGGACCAGAGGTTTAAATATTTAACTGATGATAGAAGATTATCAGAGGGAATATTTGAGGAGACGGTGAGGGAGAAATCAACGTTGACTTTAAGTCAGTGAGAAGCTGCTGAAGCTGCATTGATTTGTCAGTTACCATTAAGTGATTAGGCAGGATTAGGGTTAAGCCCGGTAAAAGGTGGGGGTTTAACCACGTGTCAGCACAGTGAACGTATATTTCTGTTAAAAAATATCATTTTCTCAATATTTAAAAGTAAACATGACAAAGTAGATCCAGAGTCTGTGTGATCCCAGGTTAAATAATCAATATTTACAATGATGAAAACTTCTGTTCCCTGACAACAGACGGACAGACATTTTACCGCTTCTTCAAACGTCATTGGACCGAAGCAGGAAACAGAAGTTCCGTCAGAACACAATCACCTTCTATGAAAAAAAAACAAACCCAAATGGTGTTAATTTAGGACAGAAAAAACGTCTAGGAACCTCGACAGTAGTCAACAACTGACAGTTATAAATTTCAGCCCCGTTAGTTTTCATCGTAGTACATCCACGTTATTGTACACAACAATATATTTTTCATCTCCCAAAAAAATACAGGGAATCATGCAAATGTAACATCTCTTTTATGTAGTACACTATGTTGAGCTTCCTTTGTTCTTAAACATTATAACATGTATTTTGCAAGTACAAAAAGTCACCCCCCCCACCAGAAAAAAACATAAACAAAGATTAAGATCAAACTGAAAAATAGTGAAACACACAGACATATCAAGATTCCAGGCTGAGTATAAAACATCTATAGAAGCATTTTTTATTAGTACTATCTTGTTCTTTTCTTTTTTTTTACATTATACTAGTGTACAAAATTCACAGATATTTCACAGATTTATTAAGTCCTTGTTCTGTCTTTGGAAACTAAGAACTTGTACTGTAGGTGTGTGGTGTGTGTATGTGTGTAACAGGAGTCGTCACCCTAGGCCTATTCTGGCTGATGTCAGATTTTCAAATGCTCCTCTGCTCAGGAAAAAAACAACATCATTTATTCATAAAATATAAATTTTATAGTATTTTTTTCTTCTAGAACAGCTGATGAGAACGCTTGAAGCCCTGATGTGCTGTGAGAATATTTTGATCTTGAATCAGACCCCCAGGCAGAGTTTAGATATTCTCATCTACTCATCTATATTCACATGATTATTTTGAACTTTAGGGAATAAATAACACCTGATTCACAATGATTGATTCAACAGAAAAGTCTAACAACATGGTCAGAACGTTAAAAAAATTATATTTTCTCTTATAGAGATATGTGAATCCCAGGTATTAAGCTAAGAAAATATGGTGACTGGACAACTTTATAAATCTCACCTCACCGTTGTTATTTTGGCTGCAATGCTACCACTCACCAGTAGGGGCTGGTCCCTTTGAAAAAGTTATCTCTCAACAAATTTTATTTTATGAATTAATGAATACAAAAATATTTAGCCTGTCCATCTGAAATAAAGTCATATTTAGTGTTGTGTTAAGGATTGTGCTGTTTGGTGACCGCTTTGCTTTTTTCCAAAAAGGTGGGGACTAACTGCTACAACAACCACAAGGTGGCAGCAACAATTACCAGCCATTTTTAGCCTATTAACAAAGCCTTGACAAGTAGGTGATGACAGGTATTGGTGCTCAGTCAAACACACTGAGGCTTAGAGGCAACGGTTGCATTTGTAATGTGTTCAAACCTCCGCGTGAGCAGAAGTGAAGGCTCCACCTCCAGGCCTGTGTGAGAACGACGCGTCTCTGAATATTTTTGTATGAACCGGTCCCACATGTGCTGCAGTTCATTTGACACAGAGAGGTGAGTCATGCAATGCTAAGTTCTGGCCCATGCGGGCTTCTGCATATTTTACAACGGCTGTCTGCATGAATTCTATCCAAAACTGCTCTGTTTTTGTTCCGTAGCTTTGCCTATTTTTTGCCTTTCAGGAAATTAGGTTAGTCAGACTGAGTCGTTCTGACTCATTTTAGGTCCCATTACGGCAAACAGCTCCCATCGCAATACGGAAGATGGGAAAAAGCTAATAAAAATCATAACTCTAATTTAATACTTACTACCAACCAGTTTTCACATTGTTTTCTGTTCCATATTTTTGTTATTAATATATTTATGTGTGTGTGTATGCCCTGTATTTGGGCAGCAAAATAGTCATGGCGAACAAGCTTCGCCCTTCTCTTTGACCACGACACTGGCACTGATCAAATCAGGGAGCAGAAGAGCACTTGAACAAACATCTGTCCTGTGACACTATTCATCAGTAAGCTGCGGTGTGAATCCAAATGAAAACTGTACAGAATTTAACATCTTTCACCAAATAACGAGAACTTTTTTCGTCACACTGAAAGTGGATTGAAACAAAATGAACATTTTTGAATTTCTCCTCACTCCCATCATCATCATCATCATCATCATCATCATCATCATCCTCCTCCTTCTTCTGTAAACATACAGTAAAGCTGTGAAGGGTATGGGGGGAAAAAACAGGGATTTTTGTGTAACTGTGAAGGGTATGGGGGAAAAAACAGGGATTTTTGTGTAAAATCCTAGTCAGTCACAGTAAAAAGTTAATCTATTAACTTTGATGAAATATAATCAAATATAAAGGTAAATGTTGGATGTTCATACAAAATGAGGTTGAATGAGGCTGTGCCTCCAAATAATAAACAGTTTCAGTACAGCTCGCTCCAGGGTCACCTCTCCACACTAATTGTACACAAACATTTTTAAAAACTAGTGGGTGAAACAACAGACACACAGCAATGGCGTATACTTTACCGATACAGCCCAGCTTTACTGTTAGCATTCATGACAAGCAATCAATTTCATCAATCAAAAGGAAAATATTGTTGGATGTCAGATTGTGTACGGACCCAAGCCTTGTCAGAACATTAATTCATATTTTAAAAGTTGACCGGTCCAGTGCAGAAAAATGAGAAATATAAAATTTAGAGACGTGAAATTAAAAGAAGTACTGCTCAATCCTCCAAAGTCCAAATTGGACAATCTTTTGGTGCATCCACACTGAAAACTACACATACTGGTTTAGGGCAACCAAACCTTACACCAAGTCATTAATGTTACAATGTTGCAATGTTACCACAAGTGGGGGCAGTTTACCAAATTTGGAAGAAAACTATGCAAAACACAGTTTCAAGTAGCTGCACTGTGATTGGTCAATGCTGAAGTAACAATACTGATCTTGAATAAAAGTGAATAAGAGTCACAAATACAGCCAGCAGGAGGTGCTGTGACAACTCCAGAGAAATAAAGATTCCTTACCTATGGGGATTTTGCATGGTGGTCTTCTGGAATGTTCCGACACACCAATAAGGGTCCCATTTTGCAGCCAAGTTAGTGTTCACTTGGAGAGTGAATGTGGATCAAGAATATTTCAAAAAGAAAAGTGTCATTTAATGTGTATGTGGTAAAACATATAATTCACATTTTTAGGGTCACATCGTGTTTGTCAGATGACGATGGACACATTTAACTATGCAGCACTTGGGGTGAGCAGGGCGCATTTTGCAAAACTTTTTTTTTTTTTAAATCAAAACCAAAAGAATAGAGATGGATAAATTATACCCAGATTAGATGGAGATTAGATTACGGTTGTGTTGGAAAGAGGCACTACACAACAGATCTTAGAGTTTTGTAAACACATTGAATATTGGGAAACATTTGTACGTTTGTCCATGCCATTAGTAACCTAATATGTTTAGACTCTGACAACTGACAACTGGGCAAGATACTGACAACTACTAGTTCATGTCAGCTTGGTCATATACAGTGTAATCTGACGAGGCATGCCGACACCCACTGACACTAACCACTGTGTACCACACACTGCCACACAACCAGGAGGCAAAGGTGCAAGCAAACATGCCCGTCACAGGTTAAACTAATTCACTTTTGAAAAAACAACGAGTATTCAATATTCTTTTTTCCTTTTTTTTTTCCAGAACAGAACGCAGTTGGCAGTAAATAGAAACTTCCATGTTCCCTCTTTCCTGAGCCTTTTAGTGGAATTGTGACGCATTATTAGCAGCAAAAGAGTATTTAATTAATGATTTTCTTTCTTTTAAATTTCTTTTTTATATTATTAATATTATTAGGATCTACTTTTTTCTGTCAGTCTATTTTTGCGTCATGTAGTCACCCTTGTATGTCTCTTTATATATATATATATATATATATATATATATATATATATAAAAGAAATCCTGTGATTGACCATACATGACAGGATGGCACTAATAAAAATGGGTCATGACCAAATTTACAAAATAGAATAAATTAAAATACAGATTGGATGTAGAATTTGCTCCCTTTTGCTAAAAATAAACCCCACCAAACTACATCTGAATACTGGAGATATTGGGCTACAAAGAAGTATAAAATAAAAACATGATATTTACTCACAAATCCCAGGCACGGTTTTTACACTCCTTGTTCTTAGCACAAAATTCTATACACCTAGCATGCCAAGAGAACCCAAAGGCAAAATTTTTGTCGCACGTTTTCTCCCAGTGAACTTCGGAGGGTTTCACTTATCTTAACGTTTCATATCCAACAAGGCTTTGCTTTGGTCCTACAGTCATAGCTTCTGCTGTGCAGATACACCCTTCCAGTAATCAAGGATGTCATGCAAGTCTTCACCTTTGGCAAACTGCACCTTTTTTCTAAGGGCGTTCCCCGCCGTCACATAACAGGCCTCATCATGCTGACCCTTCTTGTACGGACGGAATCGCTCCCAGATCCGCAGTGAGCTCTCCGAAGAGTACTCTGGGCTGGAGGAGTAGCCAGAGTAAGTAGAATGGTGACGGGCAGGTGACAGCTGGGAGTAAGATGCCGCATCCCTGCGTGAGCGGGTCAGAGGCTTGAGGAATGAAACCCTCTGGGATGGGGAGCCCTTGCGTGAGCCTTCATAGTAGAGAGCTGGGACAGAGTGGCGGTGCTCCGAGCAGTGGTAGTCCTGCTGCGCCTCACAATGCTGCTGCTGCTGCTGCTGCTGCTGCTGCTGTTGTTGATGATAGTGGTGTGGGTTCTGGCTGTCCTGGTGCTGGGCACCAACACCACCACTGTCGCAACCACCACCACCCCCTCCACCACAGCTCCCGCTGCCTACCAGTGGCAGCCTCTCTAGGGGCTCCCCACAGCCCAAGGGACTAGCCCTGTCCTGGAACTGCTGCTGATTACAGGCATCCGGGCTCCTCGGCTCGGGAATGTCCAGGCTGTACACCCTGGCTCCTCCTCGATCCCTGTCCCGATCCATGGAACCACACGATGTGGTGCTGCACTGCTTCTTGACAGCGTTAACCATAACAACAGCTGCATCTGCGCTCATCTGACGCTGTATAGGCCGTACAGCATTGGCCGGTGGAGGGGGCCTGTAAGGAGGAGTGACGACAAAACCACCACCACTGATGCCGGGGCGCTCAGCAAGAGGGGCATTCAAGGTAGGAAGAGGAGGTGGAGGAGGTATTTTGTTAGGAGCAAGGACTTGGCCGGTCTCTACCACTTGGGAAAGAGGAATAAGCCCACGGGTAAGGGAGGATCCACTGTTGGGGGGAGGAGAGGTGGGGTTAGAGGAGGCCGTGTTGTCATTCGACACACCTGAAGCAGCAACTGCTGCATCTAGTTTCAGGGCATCAATGCAGTTGTTAATGATCTGGTTAACCTTGTCTACCTCCATTGCAATGGTGGAGATCTCTGAGGCAGATCCATGTCCATCATCGTCATCCGAGTCATCCCCCATATCGATATCATCATCACCTTTCAACTGAATCCCTCTTAATGCACCGTAGCCCCCGTCTCCCATCCCTCCAGGTCTGACGTCCATGTAGTTTCCTTTGCTTGCCGCTCTGGCCTCTGAAAACGCAGTGGCCAGCTTTTCCACTTGTGGGATGGAGATAAGTCTAGAAGAGCTGGTGTTGGCTGAGTGCAACATTCCAGAGCTGGAGGATGTGGACAGAGGAAGTTTGGCTCCATGATGATGCTGATACTGGTGATGTTCTCGTGACTGCTCCTGAAGCTTGTGCACCGCAGACGGATCATTTGCCACTGCTGCCGCAACCTCAGGTCCATAGCGCATCTCCAGAATGGTTTTTTTGACGCAGATGGATTTCTTTTTCTCATCATGTACCCGTTTCTTTCGCAGACAATAGTAGACAAAGCCTAAAATGATCAGCATTCCAAAAAGGCAGCCCACGATGGTCATAATGTAATGGGTGGTGGTGGAAGTTGGCGGTATGTCATCTTGATTTTTAGCCGGCGTAGAAAACTGGATGCAGGTGTGATTGTAGCGTTGAGAGGTGCGGACAGATACAACACAGAAGGTGTAATTATTGTGTGGTTTGAGTGGGGTGACTGTGACCACCTCTTTCTTAATTTTCAAGGTCTTAACATCCGACACATACGTGTTGTTGTACTGGCTCAGAATATACATTTTGCTAAAAGGGTTTGGAATATGTACAAGTAAGGACGCTGACGACGAGGTGACACGCTGGACCTTGATGCTTGGAACAAGGGGGGCAGTAGATGATGAAGAGGTGACAGGCTGGTGGTATGGCCCCGCACCACCAAACATCTCTGGTCCAACTCCAGAAGGACCCTCCAGATCTGGAGGGAGAGATGTCATTCCAGGAATCATCACACCGTCTCGGCAGCGATGATACAAGATGTTTTTGGCATTGCGACCGGCGTGGCCAGAGGAGATGGGGCTCAGTAACGGGTAGCCAAACATTTCCTTTGGTGTCTCACACTGCAGGCGGTCGTAGGTGTGAGTGACATTATTGAAGGATTCCAGCCAGGTTAGGAAACTATAAAGATCACATCCACAGTGGAATGGATTTGCTGCCAGTTCACACACCATTAACCGCATTAAAACAGTAAATGTGGCCGGATCAATGCGAGCGAGTTTGTTTGATGACAGATCAATGCTGCTGAGATTTGGGCACTCCCAGAATGCATTGCTCGCAATTACCTCAATGAGGTTGTGCTGGAGGAAGAGACATTGTAGGCGCCCGAGCCCTCTCATCATACCCTCGGTTAAGTTGGTCAACTTGTTGTAGCCCAGCTGTAAAACCTGCGGCAAACATGGAAGAAATTGCATGTCAAAAGTTCTACAGTGTCATGTGATGCACCAATAGGTATCAAAACTGTAGAATAATAAGTAATAATAAGTATACACATATACATACCTATACACCATCAAAACTGTAGAATAACCCAAATAAAACACAAGTATACACATATACATACCTATACACAAACATACTGTACACACATAGGTATACACATATATATACTGTATATACACACACACATATGTATGTACATATCTATATAAATATATGTGCACATTCAACTCCATACATATATAAATATATGTGCACATTCAACTCTCACCTGTAGGTTGGCTTGTCCTGCAAAGGCTCCATCCTCGATGTAGTTGATATCGTTCTTAGTGAGGTTGAGGTCGGTCAGGTTAGTGAAACGGTACATGGAGCTAAAGAGCACGGCCTTCAGTTTGTTCTCGTTCAGTCTCAAGTCATGGACCGTGTTGTTGATGTGCTGGGGGATGGTTTCATATGGTGGCTGGTTCTGGCTGCAGATAGCCAGCCACACATATCCTTTGTCCCCTTCAATGAGCCAACAGTCCCCGTTCACCATGTTAGGCATGGGGGCAAAAAAGAACAGGATGGAAGGGAAAATCAGGAGAACAGAGGTGGAAGAAGCACCCTGCATGTTGCCAGTGAGAAAAAAGTTGCAAAAAAGAAAAAAACAGGGAGTTGTAATTACAAAGAAAAGTAGGCGCAGGCAGGTAGGGGGAGTTTTGAAAAAAAGAAAGGAAAGCAACACAGGTTGCTACTATGGGTGAACAAAGTTCTAAAGTTGAGTAGGTTTGAGGTCAGGTACAGGAAGGTCAGGGAGGGTGAGGGATTCACAGTGCTAGTCACACAGCTCTGTGGGTGTCATTTTGATTAACAGGGAACCCACATTATGCCATTTCTTGTTGAGCTGTGATATAAAGTAGTTTGTCTCATACTCTCACTGTGTCTTCAGCTCTGATCGACTGGAGGGTCTGGTCCTCCAGAAATACAGGGAATCTGTCGGAGAATAAAGAAGTAGCAACTTCAGTACTTGGTACAAATAAATTTGTATATATATGCCTCTATAAATAAATAAAAAAAAAACCTGGAATAACCCAACCCAGCTGAAATGACAGCCTTAGGTACCAAGTAATTAGAAATGGAACCATTCTACACTCACGTAGAATGGTTCCATTTCTAATTAATGGTATAATATAGGATGTCCTTCAAGAAGACAAAAAAGGTGTCTTCTATGTACATATATACATATATATATAGTATATATGTATACACATATATACTATATATATATATATATATATGTATATATATATATATATATATATACACACACATCCTGTACATGCATGTGTACACAGACACATATGTCTGTGATTGGCACATAAAAACCAGTGTAAATCTCTGGCCATCTCTGACTCATCCACCTCTGGACTTTCCTTGTTTTGTTATGACACCGTTCTACCAAATCTCACACACTCCATCCCATCTGTATGGTACTTTAATACCAGTCAAGTGTTTACATAAGGAGAGGATTAGCTGCCTGTTGCATCATGACGGGAATTGTCCTCTTGCCAGTTTAGCAGCTGGAGAAATAACACAAGTGCAAGCACACACACACACAAACGTGTACCATCACAGGCAGATGAAGGCTTAGACTTTCTCTCTCACACACACGTGCACACACACACACATTAGACTCATAAACAGACAGACAGGTCTGTGTTAATGTTGTACTTTGAGCTGAAAACTGATGCCACGTTCTCATCATCTCCCAGTGTCCTTTGTTCTCTCAACTGCTATCATTCCACTTCGCTAACAATGTTCAACAGATTCAGGAGAGCGATATTAGAAAAATTCATGCTAACACTTGTGATTTATTTTCACAAAATGTATGTGCTAAAATCACGCTGAACACAGCCAATACTGAAGTTTGTCACTGGTAGAGCAGTGCCAACCATCACTTCAACTTTTGTTTTTTCACAGATTAAATACTTTGCACAATAGCTCAACCAACACACACACACACCACACACACAAACACACGCCAGCTCTTACAAGACAATACAGAACAGTGTTTACCGATTTAGATCAGTCGTTGTCATTTCTGAACAAATCGGATGAGAGTAATGAACCCGACTGATCAGTGATATAAAAATAAATATTCTCTTTCTTAAGCAGCAACAAAGTAAGCTTCAAAGTAAGCAAGTTCAGCAAGCACCAGAAAAATCAAATATATATATAAGAGAAACCACTCTTTTTTTGTTTAAACATCTAAGGACCCAGATAATTATCATGTGACCCAAACAGGGGCCCCGACCTCAAGGTTGAGAAACTCATTTACCATATTTTAAGTCTGCAATCGTTTCTAAACTGGTTCTGTACTTCGACAATGGCCAGCAGTCGAGGTTGTTTCCCACTTTTTTCCAGCGCTCTGAGAGGAACCCTGTGCTTTAGAAAACTGTGCTCTGAGAGGAACTCTGTGCTTTAGAAAACTGCTCCATTAGTTTTCCATTAGTATCTGCTCCTTCGTTGTTATCCTTCATTTCGCTGCTTGACCACTGTTTTGACCATCTTTTTTCTTGTAACAATACTCGTCCATTTGCATTCAGATTACCACAGGCAGCTGGGTCACATCCCTGTGACTTTCCTCTGTACTCTCTTTTGAAAAGAGTCGGACAAATAGTACTGTGTAAGAATGACAGTACACACAGTGTGAAAGAGTAAGTGCCTTCTCACACCAGAACCCAGTGTGACTATTATATATTCTGTTGTTAAAAACAAAACCCAGAGCATCTCATTAAGACGAGTGCACCAACCTGATCCCTGCTGCTGCTGCTGATGTAAAGTACTGTGTTCAAGTTAAATATAGTAGAAAAACACAAGTGTTAACAACAGCTTCTGGTGAAAGCTGTTTATTTTAGAATCATTACCGTGTCGTCAGCTCTCACATTGGTCACACTATTAATAAACTGTCTTCGCTTATTCATGATACACACACACACACGCTCACACACACACGCTGTCAGTCACACAAAAACAAACAAAAAACATTCAAAATGACAGCCAAGATCGTAGACTCTAACAGTGACAGGAAGTGTTCTCTAGCGTAACAACCCAGACTCCGACTCAGATCAAACTCAAACTTATTTTCACCAGGCGCCACATCAGCAAAACAGTTCTCTAGAAGGGCCGGTTCTAAATGGTAGACTGTATAGATCAGGGGTTCCTAACCCCCGGTCCGCGGACCAGTACTAGTCAAAAGGTCATTTGGTACTGGGCCGCAGTGGGACACAGTAAAAAATGTACTTCATTTTTTTGCCAATTTACTGCATTAAAATTTTTTTAATTTCTTAGGTTAAGAAACTAATGTACTTCATTTTTTTGCCAATTTATTGCATTAATTTTTTTTTAATTAAGAAACGCCGCTGCATGGACTTTACTAAATGGGCCACAGGCCAGACAAAATAGTTTGGTGGGCCGTATTTGGCCCCCGGGCCTTGAGTTTGACACGTACGATCTAATTGGAACACTAGGCATCCCAGGAAAGACGTGGGAAACATGGATCTTAATTTTCTCACTCCAGCGTCTACCACTTCCTTCTACACAAAGATCATTGAACGCATTTCCTCCTTTTTTTCTCCCCCATTCAAACTCCCCCTCTGTCCATTCCTGCAGACGAGTACGTACAGTAGGTCTGAAGACCAAGATATTGAAGACTCAAGATTACATGTGTTTTCTGATGAGGCAGTTTGCCGTAAATGTAGTTTGCGGTCATTTAAAATACCTTTAAAAGCGTTTCTCCATCAGCTGTGTCTAACTCGAACGCGTTCTCGTCTCATTTACCATTCAGTGCCCACGGATGCAGCACCGCCTTACACTCCATTGTTCTCTCTCTCCTCACAGTTGCCTCCTTCTGTCTCTTTCACATGAGACATGATCTCATTTGATGCTCCACATAGTGACACCCAGAGGGTTCACATGTGGGAGGCAGGAACACAGTATTCTGAAGCTGTGCGTGTTTAGGGAAATGATTACATAATTAGAGACAGGGAACATAAAGAACGGCTGTTTTTACAGGAAAGACGATCACATGTTACACCAGGTACTATATACCTGCCAACATTCACATATTTGAACCCTTTTTAGAGCTCCAAATAAGGTGTACACCAGGGGTGCCCAATACGAAGATCAGGAGTAAAGTTCAAAAAGTAACAACTGTATATTATATATATAGACCAGCTGTGTGTTTACCAGCCCTGGTGTACACACACAGCCACAGCCACACACACACACAAACAAACAAAAGGTCACACTCACAGTCATTCCTGTTTGGACTTGAACCAGCAAAGCTCCCAAATGAGGTTCTGCCTCATTAAGAGCAGATTCTGGCCTCCATTAGCAGCACCGCTTCTACCGATGTCAATAACAACAACCAGAAATATAGATATAACAAGAACACCGTGGCTTAGAGTAAAACCAACACTACAACAGTTCACATCCATCACACTTTTTTTTCCTCTAACAATTCTAACAATTCCCGTGTTACAATGATAATAAAGGCTATTCTATTGTATTGTAAAAACAGGTGGGAGCTTATCAGGAGCAGGTCCAGGTCTGCAGCAGCTCCATGAAGAGATCTGGATGACTTTATATCATGTTTGGTTTTATTATTGATCTTCATGTTGCCTTGTACAGACACCTCTGATGGACAGGGCCAATTAGGACTAACGATGAGCGAGTGCCGTGTTGTTGGTATTCTCGTCCAATCAGCATGTCCCCTCTGCTTCATTAGGCACACTGAGAAAAACAACTCCTCCCAGAATCTTGTTAGCATTTAATGTACATCAGCTGCGACAGGAGTCGGACACCGTCCATACATTGTCTTCTTGAGACGTGACGTTTGGAGACAAGAGTTAAATTTATTTGCTTGGACCCAGTGATGACTTTTTATGCCTCCAATGCTGTCGTCTTGAGTTGTGTCGCCTGTGAATTATTACGTACATTAGCACAGACTGGAGTGTCATGTGAGGACAAAGCAGATTAATACACGTGGAGGCGCCTGGTGAGTTTGCGCCGCGCCTTTCATTGAATTTGTGCCCACAGTCTGTCACTAATTATCATCCTGCTCACCTCAAACAGGAGCTGTTTCTGTTTTGTGAGGGTGAAGAAGAGTCTTACAGATTCATTAGAGAGCAAAATTAAAAATCTAATGACATATAAATGTCTATGTTGTGTACAGTTAGAGGTTAATCTGAATTAAAATGTTTATTAGATATTTTCCCAGGGAATGAATTTCGCTCTATATAAATAAATATGATACATAAAAAATTAAAACATTGCAAAAGGGGAAATGTATCATATCCAGAGAATGCTGCTCATTGTTTCTATCTGCAAATATTCCAGAGAATGTTGTGCTAGAATTAAATCCACAGGAGGAGCCACAGGAATTATTTAAAGAATTCTTCACAGGTCAGAAATACTACAATACAAGATGAAGTGGAAGAATTACATCATATAATTAATAATCTTTTTTTTTTTTTTTTTACTCCTGCAGTTTCCATGCAGATCCTCATGTTTCCCAGAACAGGATAAAGATCAGTTGTCATGAACTGGGCCTGTGGCAGAGACATCCTATTTGAAGAGAACTGCAGATATAGGGATAAAACCACACATGTTATTAATACTGTTATTTCTCATGCACGTGGTGTGTGTGATTAGCTGCAGAGCGAAGGTTAATCCGCTCAACATGGCAACTGATCCTACAACCTGTCTTTATTTATATTGGTACCATGTCATGGCCATGACACCTGCTTTTATTTATACAGCCAACCTTGGTCACCGTGGCAACAGTTAAGTGGACTGCTGGACTGTCCATCTGATGACTCAGGGATTTACCATGAAGCTGTCAGTCACACAAACCCCTGCTCTCCATAGTTATGGCCATAAATCTCTGGCGTGTTCTGGTTTGTCCAATAAAAACCTAAAGATGTTTACGT